GGCTGGCTCACTGCTTCCAACTAGTGGTCAGAGGCTGAACTACAACATAAAAATGAACGGCTGGCAGGAAAGTTGACATTTTAAACCTTAATTAAATATCGATACAGGACTTTAGAATATCGATACAGTATTGGGAAATGAAATATCGCGATATTTAAGTGTATCGATATTTTCTTACACCCCCTACTTAGCGGTTAGCGTTAGCTTCCACTAATTTTTTTTTATCTGTTTAGCGTTAGCAGAACTAAGATTCTTGTTTAGCGTATTAGTAGTTAGTGTACCTAACTTTCTGGTTAGCTGCCCACTACTGGTTACTTGCATGTGCAAATGGCAGCAGTTGCAGCACTTCCAGTGCAGTTTAGGGTTAATTCTGTTGTCAGTCCTGTGAAATATTAGCTCTATTGTTTTAATCTGAAGTTGTTTATCTAGAACGGGTAAGATAATAATTCCTCATTACTATTCTAACCTAATTTTAAAAAAGCAAAGATATGTCTATTTAATTTTACACTCCTGCTACATTTACTGACATTAAGTACGTTTTTCTGCAAAGCCATGGGAGCACTTTAAGAATAGCTAAATGGAGGGCTAACAAACAGAAGCAGAGGGAACTGCTGAGACGTCATGAGGACTGTGCCTGCTGTCACTTGTCCCGCTGGCTATATTTAAAGTACTGTCTCCACCTRAGAAACATGAGCTGTAGCCTCGATTGTCAATACGTGCACCTGCTGTTTTTAGTAGCAACTGGCTGCAGGAGTCTGTGTGCCGTGGCTTGCATGTCAACATGTTAATAAAAAATCCTTTCAAATCTGGGTCGCCCAGCTGTGTGCTGAACTGTACTCCCCCCACAAAGAAAGTGAATAACGGACAACTGTCTGAGAACTGTTAGTGGGTTTTAATGCTTCATAACAGATTAAACATCAACTGACCAGTGTTTGACTGAAACTACCCCCCTCAGTAATAATCAGCTGTCACATTTAGGAGTCGTGTTTTTCACTAAGGCACGTTCCAGTTGTTTCTATAACTTCAAACATGTATTAGTTTCAAACGTCTGRGTCAAAAATCAAACTGGATGAATGGTAACGAACAGTAGGGCTGCCACAAACGATTATTTTTATAATCGATTAATCACCGATTATTTTTCGATTAGTTGACTAATCAGATCATATGTTAATTGAATATAAAACATACAGCTTATCACGCCAGAACGCAGCTGCTATTATATAACCATGGTTAGATTTTAGCTATATGCTAACAAAAATAAATGCTGTGGAAGGTAAGTTCTGCTCTGCAGATATTACACAGGTTTCTCTTTCATTTTCTTAAAATGATCCCACACTTTGAGCTCCGTTGACAGGTAGCCATGATACCAGAGCCTGTCTGTATACAGGTGCTGGTCATAAAATTAGAATATCATGAAAAAGCAGATTTATTTCAGTAATTCTATTTAAAAAGTGAAACTTGTATATTATATTCATACATTACATACAAACTCATATACAGTATTTCAAATGTTTATTTCGTTTAATTTTGATGATTACAAATGACAACAAATG